GACTCAATAAAAGCAAAGCAGAAACAGGAGTGAGGAGGTCCCAGGAGTTCAAGGTCAGCTTGGGCAGCAGAACACGATGAGATCCCATTTTTTAAACAAGAACAACAAAAATAACACTGGGTCGATGCCTTTAGCCCCACTTTAATTCCAGCACTCAGAAGGCAGAGGCAGGTGGATCTCTGTGAGATGGAGGCCAGCCTGGTCTACACGTAGTGAGTTTCAGGCTGGGCTATGGGAGATGCTGTCTCAGAAAAAAAAAATAAATAAATAAAAATAAAAGCCACATAAGGTGGCACACACCCCAGGGATGCTGCAGCAGGAGGATTGTTGTAAATCAGAGGCCAGCCTGAACTACATAGTGAGACTCTGTTTCAAAATGGAAAGGAAGAGAGGGAGGGAGGGAGGCAGGGAGGGAGGCAGGGAGGGAGGAAGAAAGAACTCTGTGCAGAACTATTTAGTGTCTGGTGATTCTTTTCTATGAGGGGCTCTAGGATGTTCAGAGCCTCACCAGTGTCTACCCCAACCTGCCTTGAGATGCAACTGAGTAGCTCCTGGCCTTCAGAACCAGCTCTCACTCAGAACCCCTTCCCATTCCCTTAGGAATTCCAGAATTCAGCTAGAGTTGAGGAGGGATAATTAGAATCCTATAAAGTCTGCTTAGAAAGGCACAGCCTGCTGTGAGTCATGCTCTCAGAGAGGTTGATACTGCCTGACATTTACCAAGTATCCACCCCAGGGAAGACTTTTGGCCCCAAGGTCCTGAACACTGCCCTGTGACCACATTCCCACATGAAGAAAAGCAGCCAAGCCAAGATTGCTAAATTAGTGATCATAGCCCATGCAACTAGGCAGGAAAAAAATAAGTTATGAAAGTACCCAAAAGATTTCAGGTAGTACAGGCCTGTGATCCCAGCACCAGGAGATGGAGACTGTAGGATCACCGTGTCTGGTCTAGCTCTGGATACCCACCAGGGCTTCTTCAGAGCCTGTCTTAAAAAACAAAGAGCTGCCGCTGTAGTTCATTTGGTAGAGTATTTGCCTAGCATGCATGCAACCCTGGGTTTGATCCCCGGCACTGAATAACCTGGGCATGGTGGGGAGGTGTTCTTGGTCTCTGAGGGCCTTCCTGGTGAGTTAGGGGTGGGAGTATCCTGCTGACTGTGACTGTTCAACCCCTCCCTGCAGCGTGTCTTTCTGTACCTTCCTGGCCCACGAGTACCCGGATCTTGTGCACAAAGTGATCATGATCAATGGCGGAGGCCCTACAGCACTGGAACCCAGCCTGTGCTCTGTCTTCAACATGCCCACGTGCGTCCTGCACTGCCTGTGGCCGTGCCTGGCCTGGAGCTTCCTCAAGTGAGTGTCTGGCCCTGACACCTGGGATGCCACCCGGGATGCGGTCTGGGCTGGGGGTGGGGAGGGGAATCTCAACACACCCCGAAGGCGTGCAGAGGCTGCACCTTGAGGGCCTGGCACTGAGGGGGGACACGCCAGTACTGCCTCGCCCATGTCTTTGCGCCTGCAGGGCTGGCTTTGCCCGACAGGGGGCCAAGGAGCAGCAGCTGCTGAAGGAGGGCAGTGCGTTCAACGTGTCCTCCTTTGTGCTGCGGGCCATGATGAGTGGTCAGTACTGGCCCGAAGGCGATGAGGTCTACCACGCAGAGCTGACCGTGCCGGTCCTGCTCGTCCACGGCATGCATGACAAGTTCGTACCTGTGGAGGAAGACCAGCGTATGGCCGAGGTAGATGGAGGGTCCAGGGGCCTGTGCTGAGTGCGGCCTTGTTGAGGGGAAGTTCATATAGGTGGGTGTGGCCCCTAGACCCAGGGGCTTACAGATAGCAGGGTTTATGAGTGAGTGTGGCCTGTGGGGAGCCTGGCTCTCTGGAATCCCGTGGTAGGTCTCAGTGCCACCTGGCTAGGGTGACTGACTTGGAGGGAGTGGATTTTCCAGCTAGGTGTGACCTGATCAAGCCTGTGGTTTCTTGTGGGTGTGGTTTGTAGCTGGATTTCACCTCTAGACAGGTATTTTGTTTTGTTTTGTTTATGGTCTTTTTGAGGCAGGGTCTCCCTGTAGCCCCAGCTGGCCTGGAACTCACCCTGTAGACCAGGCTGGCCTCGAACTCACAGAGATCCCGCCTGCCTCTGCCTCCCAAGTGCTGGGATTAAAGGCGAGCGCCACCAGGCCCGGCCTAGACAGGTAGGTTTTTTAGGTGGCTTTGGATACCTGGTGGGTGAAGCCCTGGAGAGTGTGAATGTTGAGTGTGACCCTCGCTGGGCGTGGTCTCTGCAGGCTTGGCTCCCACTGGTCCTAGGGGCTGGGAGCTTTGAATTTGAAGAAGCAGACAGTGTTGCACAGATGTGAAGGGCCAGGGCAGTTCCCTAATTCAGGAGAGGAGGAGGGTGGGAAGAGGCGTGGTGTGAGGTTCAGAGGGCTGGGTCTGGGGTTCTCAGGATTTAGGGTAGCTCAGAACTGGGGGGCCTGCACCAAGTACACGTGTGCCTTGCGGGGTACATGGAGAAGTTAAAAACATTTGCGGAAGGGGAGAGTGGAGCATCCCTGACATCTTGGTGGGGGTGGACAGCAGGGGAGGATGCCGGGGAGGCTGCCCAGCACCCCACAACACACAGGAAACCCTCACAGCAAAGACCCAACCCCAAATGTCAAAGGACCAGGTTGGGCAGTACTACACCCGGCATCCTGCAGTCACTTAATAGCTGTGAGCGAATACCCGGTGAGGCTCCAGCAGGGTGACAGGCCATCCCCGAGTTTCCTCCTCGGTGGAGCTGAAGGGTAGACAGCAGGAGGACTTCCCCTCCCGGCAGATCCTGCTCCTGGCTTTCCTGAAGCTCATAGAGGAAGGCAGCCACATGGTGATGCTGGAGTGCCCCGAGACGGTCAACACGCTGCTGCACGAGTTTCTCCTCTGGGAGCCGGAGCCCGAGGCCGAGGCGCCGTCCGAGCCTCAGCCACAGCCGCAGCCGAAGCCGCAGCCGCAGCCTAAGCCGCAGTCGCCAGAGTCAGGAGACGAGAAGTAGCCGCGGGCACAGGGCATCCTGCATCCCAGAAACTGAGGCTCCCTTAGACTGGGCACGGATTGGTGCGGAGCCTCGCACCAGTGGGCGGGTCCTGGGTAGGCCACGCCCCCATCCTGGAGCAGGCCCGGGTGCCGCCAGTGTTGAAGAGAGAGAGTGCCCAATAGAGTCACTCCTGCCTCTCGGTTCCCACCGGCCGTGGAGAGGGACTTTGTACAGATCACCTTCCCCACCGAGATCTGTCTCCCCAACCCCCACGCCACAGCGGGTGGGCTGCTACCCCACGCGGTCTCGCATTAGCTGTGCTCCATCCCAGACTGGAGAGCCCCCAGGGGATCCCGGAGAAAGGGTCCGGTCCTGTGGCGGGAGACCTCACGGCACCATCCCCATTGCTCCGGTCTGGGGACTATGGACCACCCAAGGGAGGAGCTTGGAGCCACCACCCTGCACATGGTGACTTGTAACTCAATTAAAAAAAAAAGTGACAATCCAAGATCCACTGGCCTCCAGCTGGTGATTGTCCTACATCAGCCACTTGAGGGGGAGATATGGGCAGCTACCACCTCCCCTGGCTAATTCCCTCTCCCTCTCCTTGCACCTTGCTTGCTTGGACTGGGATGATGAGACCTGGTGACACAGTGCCTGTTGGGGTGCACCATCCATCACAACGCCCACGCTCAGCCTGAGGGGAGACCTGAGCACACAAATGTGCACACACCTACATACACACACACCCTCCTGTCTGAAGCTGGAGGTGGGGAGCCTGTTGGGCACTCCCCCTAGGCAGACAGATATCCTGAGGCCACTCAAGCTGTGTGCTCGGCACTCATCCCTGGAAGTCTTGAGGCTGTTACTCTCGCTCCCCGTCAGACAGAGACCAGCAAGGTGTGCTGCAGCAGGTGCACCCTCAAAAGCCTGAGCCCTTGGTGGACAGCCACAGCGACCCACTGTGAACTGTTCCAAATAAGCCAACTGTGCAGGCCCAGGCATGCTCAGGGACAAGGCTGGGGCAGGACTTGAGTCCCCCTGGGGTGGAGGGGGTACAGCTGAGGGCAACTAAGTGACCACTGTCCCCAGAGCCAAAGGGTCACCAGAACCCCATCCCAAATCTAGGCCATTAGAAGGGCCCTGAGCAGCTCTACCACTGAGTTCTAACCCCAGCCCATCACTGGGGAACTCTAGGCAGAGGCTCTAACTCTGAGACACACCCCCCAGTCCCTCACTGGGGGATTCTAGGTAGAGGATCTACCCTTGAGCCACACCCCAGCCCCTTACTGGGAGATTCTAGGCAGGGGCTCTCCCTCTGAACCACACCTGCAGCCCTCTTATTTTGATAGTGGTTCTCATTGGGTTTCACTGGTGTGAACTGGAACTGAAGCTCCTCTTGGCTCCCTGTCTGGTATGCTGGGATGTCAGGTGTGTGCGACCACGCATAGCCAACATCAGAATTTAAAAAATAGTAAAGGTGAGTGAGAAAGATTTAAATGGGAGATCCTGTGTCTCCAAGAGATGAAACGGGCATCTGAGGACTGCTCCCTGGAGTCCCAGAGCCCGTCACCTACATGCACGGGTGTCCACCTGATAAGGAGTAAGATGGGTGCTCACCGCCCGATGTCAGTGCAACAGATTTGGTAGTTTGGGTGTGGTTATGGTTTTGAGTGTGGGTGTGGTAGGGGATGAGGAGAAATGGGCTTTTGTTTTTGTTTTGTTTTGTTTTTGAGACAAACCCAGCCAGGATTCCATATGGATACCAGGCTGGCCTTGAACTCACAGAGATCCGCCTGCTTCTGCTGGGACTACTAAAGGCATGTGCCACCATGCCTGGTTGGTTTTTTCTCTTTCTGACCCCTACTGACCCAGGACAGCACACACCACCACAAACAACTGTTATTAAGCCTCCTGTTGTTTGCAACATAAACTGGGGATAATTTGTTGCTTTAAACATGGTTTGCAGCATGATATTTTCAGAAAACACACACACACAGATTATTCTTTGTCAGGGGCAAGGAAGGGTTGTGCCGGATCAAAGCTATATGTTTAGCTTACAAGAGGAGTCCAAGGTCTAGTATGCTTGTTTACATTGTAAACAAGCTGAGATAGCATTAAGTGATCACTATCTAAACATAAGATTCACTTTGGCTACCATGTTAGGTGAGATTCCCATTTATAACATTCCCACAGTTGGAAGAGCAGAGTTTCTGGCCTATTGGGGTGCCTGCAAATCAGCGCCGGGAGGGACAAGAGAGGCAAGCGGGCCTGTCAGTCTGGAATCCAGATGAAGCCTGTGCCCACAGTGGAGCAAGAATTCCACAGTTCATAACTGGTTGAGCTTTCAGCCTGCCACTACAACCCCCCAGTTCCCACTGCACTAGTGAGTGAAATCACAAAGGAAGTCTGACTGTCAGTGTCACCGCCCCAAAGGGACAGTGCTTACTGGACTCAAGGCATGCAGAAATGGTTCCTGTAACTTCAGTGTGCAGAAAGTTGAATTCACACATCCACTGTGAAAAAAGACACAAACATGTTCCTTGTCTTTTCTCTCTCTCTCCCTCCCTCCCCCTCCCTCCCCCTCCCTGTATCCCTCCTTCCTCATGCTCAAACTTAGAGCAAGGTGTCTCTCTGTAGCCCCAGCTAGCCTGGAACCTGGAACTCACTATGTAGACCAGGCTGGCCTTGAACTCAGAAATCCCCCTGCCTCTGCCTCCCGAGTGCTAAGATTAAAGGCGTGCGCCACTTGGCCAGCTCCTTTTCAAATTACCCTCTCTTGTTCTCAGCTCTAAATGCTATAGTCTACCCACAATGCATTTGTTTACATGTGTATATGTATGCACTGTAGGTACAATCCACATAGGAGGAGAAATGTGTTTTTTGCTTTCTGAGATTAAGTGACTTGACTTAATATTATGCATTCTAGGTCCAACCATTTTTCCTGTGAATGTTGTGCCTTCATTGTTCTTTAGAGCTGAATAGTATTCCATTTTTTATGTGTACCAGAGTTTCATTATCCATTTATCTGTTGATGGAAAACTAACTAGGTTGGTTCCATTTCCTGCTATAGTGAACAGAGCAGCAACACACATGGGTGTAATATATCTTTGTGGTAAGGTGTAGAGTTCTCTGACCACGAATGAGATAGCTGGGTCATAACATTTTTTTTTCTTTTTGAGACAGGGTCTCCCTGTAGCCCCAGCTGACCTGAATCTCACCATGTAGACCAGGCTGGCCTTGAATTCACAGAGATCCGCCTGCCTCTGCCTCCCGAGTGCTGGGATTAAAGGTGTGTGCCACCCTGTCCGGCGGTGGCAGACTTTTTTTGAGTTTTTTACTTTTGTGGTGTTTTTTTGTTTATTTTGTTTTTTTCTTGCTTTGAGATAGGGTCTCCCTGTTGCTACAGCTGACCTGAAACTCACCATGGAGATCATGCTAGCCTGGATCTCACAGAGATCCACCTGCCTCTGCCTCCTGAATGCTGGGATTAAAGGTGTATGCTACCACATCTGGCTGGGTTAGGGTTAGGGTTTTTTAATTGGTACTGGTTTTGGTATGGATCCACATATTGGAATGGGTACAGGATTTGGAATGGGTATAGGATTTTGCTATGGCTACAGGATTTGGCCTGGGTACAGAATTTGAAATAGGCACAGGTTGTGGCATGGATGCAGGTATGGGTTTGTGCACAGGTTTTGGGATGGGTGCTGGTTTGGGTATGGCATGGCATGGTGCCACATAAAAGAGAAGCTACCTCCTGGAGTGGGTTCAATGCGAAGGAGCCTCTCTGTTGAGGAGTTCAAATCAGAACTGCTCTGTTCTTCCAAACAAAAGGCCTCCTCCAGGAACAAGGCATTCTGTCTATAAGAGTTTTTAATCAGGGTTTACAAGGGAAGGGATTATTTTTCTGACTCTACTGACCCAGAGCAGCATCGAAACTGCAAACAAACGCCGTGAACACATGCCCATGCGTTGGTCTGATACGAGTGTGTGGGGCACTGTTTCCAACAGCATCACTGCTTTCAACTGTGGTTTTAGCATGGAAACACATGCACACGCACACAGCGTGCATGCGCGCGCGCGCACACACACACACACACACACACACACACACACTGTTCTGAGTCTGGGGCAGAACTGAATCACAAGAGGAAAAAGGTCACAAGATACACGGGATTTGGAATGTGTAGAGGGAATGGGTACAGGATTTTGGTGTGGCTACGGGGGTTTTGTGCACTACAGGACTTGGAAAGATAAAAAGTACTGACATGAAGCCAGGCGTGGTGGCGCACGCCTTTAATCCCAGCACTTGGGAGGCAGAGGCAGGTGGATCTTTGTGAGTTCGAGGCCAGTCTGGTCTACATAGGGGATACAGGGAGACTGTCTCAGAAAGACAAAAAAAAAAAAAAAAAAAAAAAAAAAAAAAAAAAAAAGAAAGAAAGAAAGAAAGTACTGACATGGGTACAGGTATTGGAATGTACTGAAGTTTCGAATGTGTACGGATGTTGGAACATTTAGCTGTAGTGGAACGGGTGCAGGATTTGGAGTAGGGTACTGGTATTGAAAGAGTTACAGGTATGAAAGGGGTACGGGATATGGAAGGGTTTCAGAATTTTGGAGAGGATATAGGATTAGGAATGTGCACAGGATGGAGAATGGGTTCAGGATTTGGAATTGTTACAGGATTTTGAATGAGTACAGTGTTTGGTATGGGTACAGAACTTAGAATGGTAAAGATCTGGGTTTCCATTCAGGTACTAGAAATGGAATAGTGTTTGGTGTTGGTTATGGATTTGGATTGGATACAGGATTGGGAATGAATACAGGAGTTTGACTAGCTAAGGACTTGGTTTGGGTACAAGATTTGGTATGAGTACAGGAATCGGTGTGGGTACTGTTAGAGTCCAGGTCTGCAGATGACCCTCTCCCAGCATAGAAAAGCCTCACAAGACAGGCCATGAGGGCACCCTTGCAAAACAGGAACTGGCCAGACAGCTACACTTAGAGCTGCCTCAGCACAAAGCTGTTCCCCAGATCATTTTGGAAGATAAATAGGACCCTGCACCCAGACCCACTGCTGTAAGAGCTGTCTCAGTTCAAGCTCCTTCCCTTGACACTAAAGATTATTTTTGCCCCCTCCCACATCCCCCAACTCCCCAGAAGAAGGTCCTCAGCAGTCAGCAGGCTGTGGTTGGCTTTCTCCCCCAGCTGAGCTGCCAGCCACCAGCAATCCTAAGAAATCAACTTTGCTTTGCTGGAGTCCTGTGCTTCCTATGGTTGTTCCCTGCCCGGCTTTTATCTAACAGGTACAGGATTTGTGGTGGATCATGGATTTGGAATGGATATAGGATTTGGAATGGGTACAGGATTTAGAACGGATACAAGATTTTGATATGGTGACAGGGATTGTTTTGCAGACTTGGAAAGACTAAAGGGTAAATGTTGGGATGGGTTGAGATTTGGAATGAGTATAGATATTGAAGTGGTTATAGGTTTTGAAATGGC